TGGCACATAATGTTGACCTGGCCCAGTTATCAGCTCTACATTTCTTACATTTACACTTTTTATTAAAATAGTGTCCCTCGTTTATTTCTGGAAACTATTAAGAACTAACTTTCTTGGTGACTTTACTGACCTGTTTTAAAAAGTGGGCTTCAGTCTGTCAGTCTGTCTCTGTCCTGACTTCGAGTTACTTTGAAAAGGGACATATCACTTATTCTGAACATGCCCTCAAGCGATCAAAACCCACGTTTGGCTTGATTTATCATGTTTCATTATGCAGCTTTGAGCTCATGCTGTTATCTATCTTGCTAACTTACCTTGGGGATGATTGATTATCACGCTGTTGGACCTTGTATAAGGACTTTCCAGTAAAATCATCTCATTGCATTATGGAAGGTTTACATGGGTGGAAACATATGTATCATGTACAGGGGCATGTACAGTCATATTAATAATCATGGAGCAACGTAGCCAAGTTGCCAATGCTCAGTTACTGCTGCTGTGAAAGCTCATAGTGTGTTTCCTACAAACAGCAATACCCTAAAACAGGATTTAGTGTAGTGTTGGCAATTTAAAATAAGATGAACGATGTTGTAATTCCAAGTTTCTGACAAAGTTTACCTAATTTATTTTCATGATGCTTTGCGTTTATTTAACAGATTGAAGCAATAACTGTGGATGCTGGCTCCTGTAATTGCTTGCTATAAGCAGAGTAATCAATCCTTTTCATTCACTTATTAATGGAGGATCGCACCAATTTACAGCCACTTCCACCTCCCTCCGCTGCCCTACATACTGTACTCTAACAGCTGCCTCATGTCTGCTCTCTGCTAATCAAAGGTGTGAAAGGTTCGGAGAACCTTTGATCTGAGCCCAGTTATTATTCTTCACCTTATTTCACCTTTGGAGACGAGACTCACATGACTCAAGCTATGGAAATTCAAGATAAAACACACAAATGTTCCAGAGTCTGGTAACAGATAAATCACCTTTTAGATATGGAGAAACTAACTGCCTTTATATGGAGGGCATAGTTGAACTGCAGTATATCTGTCTTCATACAGTCAATAAAAGCAGCCCATTTAACATAACATAACATATATTGGCAGGCTTTGGGATGCATATATATTTATGTAATATATGCCTACAATATAAGCACACATACATAAACATACATTGGTCAGACATACAGTATATGTCAATACATGAAATTGTTCCAGTTTCTAATACATTTCATATGTAATTTTTACATAGACGCTCAGTGCAAACTGAGGATAGGGTTAGGGTTAGATTACAAACTTTAATTATAAACTTTAATTATAAACAAACAAACAAATAAATAAATATTGTCTCATGAAGCGCAATCAGGTACAGGTACATTAACCATTAACTACAGAAACAGACAGGTTCAATCTTCTCCCAGAAGAGAAAAGGCTTTCGATGTTATGTGATCTAAATAAGATTGAATATAATTGTCTGTTCCATTGCTCATTACGTGATGATTTAAGGGATTTAATTGGAATGATCATATAAAACTTGAGTGGTATTTTAGACAGGGAGCCTTTTTGTGGCAGATTTTATATGTCGGGTTTAAAAAAGTTCTTTATGTAAGAAGTTAAATTCTTTTCTGACAAATATTTCACCACTGCAACAGTATTTTGGTTTCTATTATACTCAACAGACACATAAAAATAGATTAGAGCAACTACACACCCTAACTGACAATTCAATGTACTCTATCCTATTTTTATAACTACTTGCAAGCTTTGTCTGACCTGTCTGTTTTTTGTTTTGTTTGTTTTCTCGCTGTGTCTTCATGTGAATGCCCACAGCACAACATGCAGAGCAATGCTGCGTTACAGTCAGCACATTGCTGACACCTCTGTTAAGGTGGGATCCAGTGGAAGGTCAGGTAAAATGGCCAACAGACCCTGAGGGATCCTTTCTCTTTCTTGTGTCAAAGAAAGACAACATTCATCGATACTGGTGCTCTCTTCCCAGACTCTGAAGCCATCAGCCCTGAGCACAAGAACTTGCAGAGACAATGCAGGTGTAACAGAGATATCACCTCAAGTTCCAATCAGACCAAAGCTTCTCATTGATTTTATGGCTCATCAATCACATCCAAGACATATCACCTTTGGGACGAAGACAAAAGAAGAAAATCAGGCTCAGCAGAAGTAAGATCTGACATATGAGGGTGTATCCTTGGGAGGAACCTGGTGGGAGCAGCTGTCACTCACCCCACAAAGAAAGTATTTTTCATGTTGTTCAACCTTGACGATAGGATGTCAGGAGATAAGAGTGATGAAACAGGGCAAGCTCTGCAGCTCCATCTGCATTTCCAATCTTGAGGTGTGTAGGTTCATCAAAAATGAAAAAAAAAAAAAGCAAGTCTGACAAATCAAACTTGACTCAAAGGTCCACATACTCAGTCCAGAATAACTCACTCGTTTCATCCTCGAAAACTTGAAAGCCTGGTCACACCAGCGTTTAAAATAGAGAAATTCAACATCAAACTCAGCTGTATTTCAATTGAATTTCCACAATTAGTGAATCCGCTTGTGGTGAAGCAAACCCCAAATCTTCTGCATGGTGTCTTCGATACTACTTGGTAAACTTTGACACACAAATTATCCCCACTGTCTAACAGCAAACCATCTTGACAGTTGAATGGAGAGCTGGAGAGTCTTAAACTGAGAAATTGATCATACTTTGCTGTGTTCCTCTCTAGAAGGGTTCGAATTACTGATTAAGACTTGGACCTCCTAAAAAGAGTAATAAACTTTGAAGGGTGCTGAATCATTTATATATCCCTCTTACCTGTAATTGTAAATATTACAATATATTTCTTATATAACATCTTGTGAAACAATTTCAAACACCCCTAAAGTGGACCGTACCATTTCTTAACCTTGACGTTAGCTGAATGTCTGCTCTGCCTGCTTCACTAAAGCATAAATACAAGTAGCAATAGCCAACTAACTAGCTAACTATAGCTGGTTTAATACACTTTACTTTCTTACCTTCAGAGTTTATTAATTAGATTGTACCAAGTATCTACGGACGGACGCTAATGTTAGCTAGTTTCTAACTTTTGCCATAAGTTACAGTTTTACTAACTGTTAGTTAATTTATAACTTTTGCCTTGGGTTACAGTTCAGCTAATTAATGCTAGCTAGCTGAAAGCGCGTCCTTTCATTTCCAGTGCTGGCTTGGCATTTCATTACCACTATAAAAAGCCATATTTTATCTAATTTCAGCAAACACTAGCACTCAGTCATAAGCAGCGAGACAATGGAGGGTTAGTTGTTGTAAAGATACGTTTTGAAGGTACTATTACCCAAGTCAGGAATAAACGTTCACACTTGAACTTTGAATGTCTTAAAGACACAGTGACACAGCAGTAGCAATAGAGAGCCTTCAATTTCCACAACACGAGTCTTTAAAGCGCCCGTCCCCTTCATTACAAATACAAAAAGCGATAATCTCTTAAGCTTTTTTATCTTCTGTCTTATTCCTGCCATTTTTGGTATATGATTGAAAGGGTTCAGTCACAATAAGGAACTAATCGTGACACTAATTGCAGCCAATGAGTCATAACCAACCCAAATGCACTAAATTACTGCAGAAATACATAACTCACAAACATGCACCTTTTTTTTCTTTCAAACAAAAATTAAATGTTCTTTACTTGTGTTCAGTACTAAGTTTCTGCAGGTGGTGCTTCTGTTTTTCTGGTTTACATTCAGCCACTGAGTCGTCATCAGCGCTCAAGACAACCACCCAGACGTCATAGTAATCAATCACAGCTCGCTGCAGTTGCTGCCTCCAGTGATGCCCATAAAAATGTATGTTTGGCCATAAATGTGTTCGCCCGACCTCACACCGAGGAGGAACCTCATTTTGCGGTTTGTGGGTTGTTAATTTTTTGATAGAACAAATTTCACAGTGGTTTTAGATCACATCATTTCTCAAACGATAAGCTTCTTTAATTCTACAAAAATGGTGTAAGCTTATACATCAGTTTTGTAATGGCCTCACTTCTTAAACCCTCTGGACATTTATTTACATTCAAATGTGGAATCAAACCACTACTGACCATCGCTGTCCTGTGAATGCGACAAAAATTCACCGTGGAGGAAAATACTTGCTTTGGTCACAGGATAAACAGCTCTCCATTTATCGCTGTTTGCTTTGGCTTTTAAAACCAGCGCATCGTCAGCCGTTACGGGAAGGAAACGCACCATAACAGAGCTGCCAGAGTCACGCTTTTAATAGACTTTATGACTGTGATTTATCCCGCTGTTTCCTCTTCTCCTGAATGACAAGATGACAGTAATATCACAGATGTCTTTCTTTTCCAGGCCAAACCCCCCCCCTACCCCCACGGCATTGCAATACCCTCAACAATTTACACCAGTCACATGCTTATACTTGGTTCAGGTTATGTCCTGATTTAAAATAGAGAACATCATTTTATTTATTTCTGATGAAAAGATCAGTTGAGAGGTAAACGCCCTGGTTTTACCCTGCATAAATTATTCTTTCGGCCTTCTTTCTTTTCCCTCCTGCATCTAAAATTGCAAACTGATGAGTCGTGCTGTCTCCTATAATGAGGCTGCCCGCCCGGTGTAATAACAAGGTTTTTTTTTTTTTTTTTTTTGCACATTGCAACACATTTTTCTACACATGTATCAACCCAAGCGGCAAGATGGAACAAGGCCTAATGGTTCTGGTATGGTTTTCATGACAAAGAACCCATTAACTGAGTAGCACGTCCTGGCGCGAGTCTCATAGTGCCATACACATTATGACTCTAATGTTTAAAACCCAGCAAAGAAGAGGCGGCAAAAAGGATAATGGACTTTTGTCTGGAGTATGATGTAGTGATTATGTTCAGGGAATAGAAAATATTTTGTGCTTCGACATCCTCTTTAGGATGCAAAATAAAAATAAAAAAGGCAAAAAATTCTGTTGTGTTACTTAGAAACATCTTTATTCAATGAAAGTATCTTTTCTCTCAGGGTCAAGTACGAAATTTACAAATACGTTACACGTCAGTTGTTTCGATTGGAACTCAAGGTGGAAACACTGTTGACACAAACAAAATGGGATGACTGACACTGTAGAAAGAAGTCCGTCAGGTATGAAGTGAAAAGAAGTCAAGGGTAAAACATTTACTGGACAGAGATCCAAACACACATCTGCCCTGCTGCCTTAGGACAGTAATTACAATTTTTTTTTTTTTATTTCTATAACCTAAATGCAGGGGAAATATATTTTAATGAATGAGACAAAAACAGACTCAGTGCTATGGGTTTGACTCTACACAGATGCCAAACATTAACAGTGAATGTAAGCAACCTTGGTACAACATACTGTACACTGTTTTTTTTTTCTCCGAAAATGATGAGAGATGGAAGCAGTTGGTCTTCAACACCCAGAAATCCTGTAATGTGTGATGTCAGTAAAGTGCAGTCACACTGTATTGGCTGGTCTGTGGAGGACACCAAGGGGATGATATGCTGGTGAGTCCTGCTTTCTCTTTTATCAGTTTTACTTCATCATCAAAATTGCAATTTTAAACATTTTTGTACCGTACGCACATCTAGACTTGTTTGTTCAACCAAATTACCACAAACATATTTTTTCACTTACCCCCAGTGCTATCTCGCCATTCAGACAGTTTTGGGTTTCAAGATCTTTGAGATTCTGCTGCCACCCCAATACTGTGAATGTGACTGGTATTTTGTTTGTTGGTGTTGCCATCATTTAAAAACAACATAAGAAAAATTCAAGAATCACATCTGTCTCCAGAATCCCTTCGGTTGATTAATTGGTTTCTATAAAAAAATAAGCTAATAGCATTTATTATCAATTAGCCAGATCAACATTGAGGGTCATTTTGGAGAAAGATGTTACTCTTGTTTTTAATGCTGGGAGCACCACAAATGGAATTGGCCTATGTCGGCCTGAAAGTGATCGCGAATGGATTCCAAAATTGAGCAAACAGTCATAAACGGTGTGTATGTACCTCTAAACCAAATGCAAACATTTATAGAAAATGTGTAGAAAATTTCTATATATCAAAAGGTAAGTGATAAAATATGATTTCATATTCTTTTTTGGATGAACTTACCCTTAAAAAGGCTTCAGGATAAGCAGAGGCCTGGTAGGAGTGTTTATCCTTCTGAATTGAACAACATTGTACAATCAATGAAAATGAAAATATACTAGTTGGATTCAATTTACAGTGACAATGCACCAAGGGTGTGGTAATCACAAAAAGATAGTTAGCTTACCATTATGTCTTCAAATGTACACGGAGGAGGAAGAAACAACTCGAGGAAACACATTCATACGTCTAGATCCGCTGGTTGCATTTATGACCCTAAAAAAACTGTTGAGGAGGCCAAAAAAAAAAAATAAAACTGGAAGTCAAGAGTAAAACATTTAGCTGCACACCTTGGCAAACCTATTCCAAAGTCTTTGGCATTTACGACCGGCAAAATTTACGCTTTATAATTTCATTTCTCTTTTTCTCATGAATATAAAAATTGAAATAGAAAACAGTAAAACAAAAAAGAAAAGTATCAAATTTCAATGTCTCCTTCAGTTTGTTGTCTTACAATAAAATTTTAACATCAAAGTGTTTTATGCCAAAAAGGCTATATATCAATGCTAGAAAAATCTAAGCCTTTATTTACACAGCAACATGTAATTTCTGTACAGGACATTCATTTTTATTACAGCACACATTCATGGCTCATACATCCTAAGTACACACCGATTCCAAAGCAGAAAAATAATTTTTTAGGTACCACTCGTTGGGACGACTGGAGTTTGATTTTTTTGTTGTTGTTGTCCTTTTCCTGTGACGGTTCCACGTCACATAAAGTCATTGAGCTCTGCCTCCAAGGCGGCGGCCATCTCGTCCGCCTCTGAGCTGCTGCCTTCCTCTTCCTCGTTGGAGTCTTTGGAGGACTCGTCAGCAGACTGCTTATTCTCCACCTCCTCCTCCTCATCCTCCTCCTCCTTGGCTTCCTCGTGCTTACGTTTGTGGCCCCTAGAGAAAACAACAGAGGGTGATTTAGAAAGGAAACAGTAAACCTTTAATCTGCGGGACTCCTCTGCTCTACTGCATCAAACAGGATTTACATCATAAACATTGATGTCCCATTTAGAACTGATGCCAGAATTTTATTTGCTTTTATTTGTTGCTTTGTTTCACCACAGAATGAAACAAGATAAAAAAAAATGAAAGCCAGACTTGATAACATAATCACAGACTATACCCCCTTTAGGTGTTCTGTTACTTAAAGGAATAGTTCAACACTTAGAGAAATAAGCAAACGGTAACAAAATCCACTTACCTATACAGCTCAAATTCACCAATTAGCATGTTATATATCATGTTTGTTTAATACACGCAAGAAACAAAGTGTGAATATGACACATTATAGTTTTAGAGGGAGCCAGATTCAGTGAGCCTTAGAAGTGAAGGCTAGTCGTTTCCCTGTTTCCAGTCTTTGTGCTATGCTAAGCTAACTGGTTGATAGCTGTAGAATCATAATTTGCATGAGACATGAGAGTGGTATCAATCTTCTCAGCTAACTAGTGGTAATAATAATAAGTATTTCCCAAAATATGAAACTATTCCTTTAAAAGATTAACTGTGTATAAAAAAAAAAAAATGTTGCTTTTAACTTCTTGGAAATTTCCAATACAAGTGACAAATTTCACAATTTTAAGATTTGCTCATTGTGGTTTTTGAACATCTTGGATAAATAAACTGAAGAGAATCAAACAGCTAGTCTGGCTAGCTGGCAAACTGCCCTGGAAGTAGATCCCTCTGGAGTTAGCTGCAATTGCTAATCCAGTCGCCTGCTTCCTGTTTTCATTTTTGTATGGATTCGGGAAAAAAGTGAAATTTCTTATGCAAAATTCAAATGTACCGTTTACTGTTTAGGAGGGTTAGTGATCGTGATCATCATCATCATCATCATCATCAACCTTTATTTATTTTCTAGGGGATATGTTGAGGGGCGACCCTCATTTTCAATGATGCCGAGATTACATAAGCAGAAAGGAAACAAACCAAACAATCCAAAGAACAAAAATCAGTTCATGATAAAAACTGTCCCGATGTTATCAGGGAATCAATGTTTCAAGTGTGTTGTAGGTTATCCCATAAGTATGTGATGCTCACCTACGTATTTGCCAATTGGTCTAGTACACGTGTGAATGGATTCTCAAGTGGCTGTTTTCAAGCTAGTGGCAATAACTGAGTTCTTAAGATGTATTCCACAAATTGGAGTTTAATAATGAGTGACAGAAATAAATCAAAGAGTTGTTTCACTGAAATATGAAAGCACTATGGTATATTCCCCAGTTAAAAAAGAAAACAGATAAAAAAAAAAAAAAAGTACTGCATGTTCAGCACAGTGTGCTCCCTAGAGAATTCCACAATGCAATTAACAAGGGCTTGTTCTCCTTATACACTGTATCCACGAGATGTAAAGGCCCTCCACTGTTCAAGAACAAAACAGCTCTGTTGTGATGAGGGATTCAGAACAGTTGGGAAACCTGGGACACAGAGATGAATAGAGAGACAGAGGGGTAAAGATGGTTATGAAGAGCAAAGACAAAAAGGATAAGATGTCTTTGGTGAAAGGAGGCGTTAAAAATCTCACGAGGTTTAGTTGGGCTCAAGATGCGCTGAAGAATCAAACCAGTATGGTGATGGTCACATTAGAATCGGATTGAAAATGCTCTGAAAGTGTCGTAATTACTATTATAACTAAAGAAAAGGCAGATCAAACAGGTCGCAGGCAGCTTGGATTTTAAAAGGGTTCGGTATTGGTTGAAAATGTTCGACACTTTCGTTGCTATGATACCATAATTTCAATGTCAGTACCAAAAGAATACATTTCTTTGAGAAATATTAAAATGCTTTCCTGCAAACTGCTTTTATTTGACTAAAAAGCCCCAAAGCTTCTCAATGGTTCATCACTTAGGGAAACATTCTGATTTGCTTCTTTTTGAGACTGATATTATTAGATTGATATCAACCTCATGTCTGTGCATTAAGTACGGAGCATAGTTAGCATAGATTAGCATAATGACTGGAAGCAGGGGGGGACAGCTAGTTTCACTATGTGCAAAGAGAACAAATGGGCCTACGAACACTTTATAAAGGCGACTTACTAAACAAGTATCTTGTTTGTTTTACCCCCAAAAAACAGAGAAGCAAATGTTTTAAATGTTTTGAGCGGTAACTTTTTCTTGCTAACAATAGCTGAGCACAATGAGTGAGCGCTGTTTGACAAACTCTTATTGTCTCAGTGAGGTTGTTAGGAAAATTTCCATTTGTGTAAAGGTCAAAGAGACAAAACAATAGTGTGAATTAGGAAGCTTCAGAGTTGCTGGTTCATGTTCTTTTTCACTTTATTAAGAGCAGGGCTAGTGGTTTCTCAAGATAAAGCTAGCCTGTGTTTAGCCTGATAAGCTAATCTGACACATGCCCTGATCTCACTCTCGGAAAAACACAAGAACCCATACAAAAACCTTTCCTAAATAAAATACAGTCTGATATTAGAAAAATTATTATTCAAATCACAAACTGACTGATGAAAAAATTTCAGTTCCAGCGTTTAGTGTTTGCTGCAGTTTGACCTTAAGGAGTCTGTAGCTCAGAGAGAAGCGTACTACCTTTGACAGTGTTGATGAAACCATACTTTAATCTTAAATCCCGGAGAGATATTTTAATACAAAGTGAGAATTAAATGATTCTTGCCTGTTGCTGCAAACAAGAGACTGAAGTTGATTCATGACGAAACCAAAATAGACGAGGGGGGAAAAAAAAAGAAGGAAGCACACATTCCTAAGTGGCTGAAGAATTCTTTGATATGGCTGTAAACATGCCGTCCTTGTTTCCATTCCACTCCCACTTCTCCATGATATCCTCTGCAGAGTGGCTTATTAGCATGATGCTAATGAGGTGTGTAGGTGCAGGTTTTGTTTTGTTGTTGTGGAGGTCTGACACCGGCTCTACTGAGAGGGCCCCTCTCATTAGACCACACGGCTGTCAGACAGCCTCGCTAACCTCCCGCAACAGCGGGTGTGTGTTCATGAAAGGTCAGATGCCGGCTAATATCAGCGGAAAGACTCCGTGACATGACGGTTACAGTGGAACCCCGGCGTCCGTGTGGTGTGGTGTGGTGTGTTGTGTTGTGTTGTGGTGGTGCATGTGGGAGGGAGAGGGTTGCGTTTGTGTTACAGCTCTGATCCTCCAAAGTCACAAGAAGTTCCCTTTTTTTTTTTTTTTAGAGCCATGAGATCGATGTTCGGTATTCAGAAGATAATCTGAGATGAGATGAGTGATTAATGATTATTTATTTGGTGACAATGTGAGAAAAACCACCATTGGTGACACTGCTTCAGCTCCCTGGGCTAGTTGGTGACACTACAGTTGAGTGCATGTATAAATACACAAACTGTGTGTGTTTTCTCTTTTTCTTTTACACCCATTCCCTGACATCCCTCTCCCATCCTATTTCCAAATATTAACAGTTGAGACAGTGGGGGGGGGTTGAGTTCCTCCACTACTTTCTGCTTCGCATCATTACATCCAATCTAAATCCTCGTCTATTAATCCAACCACACACAGGAACTCTCACTCCCAGCATGCTCACCCCTGTCAGCTCCAAAATGGGCTTCAGATGTAATCCATTTTTACTTGATTTTTTTGCTGGTTTCACGTGCTGTTAAACTGCACTGCTTCAAAGGGAGCTTCTTCACTGTTTTATTTACACTGTATCTATCTTAACTACCACAATACAGGTTTCAGCTTAAGTTTAATTTGGAATTTAATCAATTATATTTTTGTTTAGATTTTAAATGGTTATAATGAAGGTTTTATGCACTGCAAAACAACACGGCTAGAAAAATGTATTAAAATGGAAGCTTTTAATGGACCTTTTCCTACCAAAATCTAATCAGTTTCATCTTTGAGTCCAAGTGAATGTTTGGGCCAAATCTGAAGACATTCCTTCAAGGCGTTACTGAGATATGTTGTTGACAAGAATGGCATGTATGGACGTACGGACAACCTGAAAACATAATGCCAGGGGCCTTAAAAAAAAAAAGAGCTCCTAGTTCATGTTTTTAACTTCATTGTTGGATTTGTTGCATGATCACCACCGGTCCATGTCTCGAACTGTAAATCAGATATCAGTTCAGGCACTTTGTGCGTGACATCTGAAAAACCAGCAGGGCTTAGAGGTGAAGACCACTTGCTCTTTCCGAATCCTCTGCTCTTTCTTGGCACTGTATCTAAGCCATTACGAGGATCCTAACGGCTATGCGGACATAAAAAGTCATTCTTCTGGATGGATTTAATATTCTTCTTTGAACAAGACTAAGAGAAAACCAAAGACCGTGAATGTTTCACAGCGAACCATCCAACACATGTCAAGACACATCAAATGTCAACCTCATGGTGGCACTAGAGGAAGAGTCAGGAGATAACCAAAGTTACTAGGCTTCATCCTCTGAGGACCATGAATGTCTATACAAACACCATCATCACTTGAGCCACACTTCTTAATTTATTAAAAATAATTAGCCAAAGGAAAACTGTGTGCACGTAGCTCTGAGTACGCAGCCACTTTTCTCATTCAATATTACTTACCAATTACATAATCGCTATGGCTGCATCTGAACTCTACGGCAATCACTAGCATCTCACCTTGCCAACCGCCTGAGGGTTTGAGGCTTTATCCTTCAGAGCTCTCAGTAAACTTCCTCTTTCAGTCCTGTTGTTTTAAGTGGTTACCCTGGAAGAGTTCAGAGCCGAGCCAAATATAAAAGGGGGTCACAAACTGATTTGGAGGGAGATGTAAGTGAGAAGGCTTTCCAGCTTGAGAGACAAAATAAGTGAAACAAAAAGACTTCCAGAAGCAGGTTTGCTTGGTAATTGAAAGTTCTCCCATTATTTTCTTTCATATATTTGACACAATGTGAGTGCAGAAATAATGGGATTTTATGAGACACCTCATTTAAATG